AAAAAATATTCATAAATAAAAAAGTTTTTTGTAAAAATTTAAATTTTCTAAATTTGGCGCCTAATATCTGCGAAGATTTGCCGAAAATCAAAAATCAAAAGTAGCGTAGCTATGTGCCCTGTCTCCGGCTATGCCAAAATGTATCGAAAGTTAAAATGAAATGATTATTGTTAAAATTACAGCAATTTTTCTAAAAACGATAGCTTCGGTGATTTCGGACATTTTGCATTGTCGCAGAACGTTCAAAATAGCTTTATCCTCTAAGTCACACCCACTTTCCCACTATAACCGCAGAAATCGTAATGATGCGACAAGCAGTTGCTGAGATCTAATCAAAATGGAATTGGAATAATAATAATAATAAGAAGTAGAACTAGACTTGCTCGCAAGACTGAAGGCTTTCACCGTAATCAAGGCGTCACATCGTCGCCAGATGCATGACAAAAGACTATTCCCACCACTCTCGCACCCCCCAAATAAAAACACAAATATGCATAACTCAGATATTGACACGTTCTTTGAATGCACATTACGATAGAGAAGGGAATTGAAAAATAGAGTTGAACAATTCACATGATGATAATCCTAGATCGGTAGAATCGAACAGACGCCGGCAATACAAATATATAATCGAAAACTCAAAATTCCAAGAAATAACAATTTTAGTAAATTTTCAAATTTTGAAGAAAAAATGAGAACGACATGGTATCTCAATTCGGCCGTTATCGTATCCGCAATATCCCCAGCTGTGCAAAAATATAACTTTTTTGAAGATCGGTTGGGAATTGACATAATTAGGGCCGGTTTTCAATTTTCGTGCACGTTATCTACACAAATTGTAAATGGAATTAAAAAAAAAACAGTTTTCCTAATGGGACAAAAACAGTCTTTTAAGTCTCAGATAACAACTAAAACCCTAAATCATAATTATCAACATCAACTTTTCTTTATAAATACAGAGGGGCGACTTCCTTATAAATGGCTGCAGCAGGGAGCTTTATAAAAATGGTATAAAGAGATGACGTCATGTACACAAAAAAACTGGGATATTAATTTCAGGAGCGACTGTTATTTACTAATATGAAATATTTTCACTCTACAAGCACCAGTGCCAGATATTGGTTAAATGTAGAACACCCTTAGTTCAAATATTGCCACTTTGAAAAATAGCTCTCTGTATTATACGTGTGCAAAACGTTCCGATTATGACCATTTCGGACTTTTGTGAATATACAGTGCCATTTGTTTGGCCAATCTTGATACTTTTGACCGTTGTACGGTGGTTTCATACGGGGGGGGGGGGGCACGTGCGCTGTATCATACGGTCTGTCATTGAGTCAACTGCCGAGGTTTCGATTCCCCGGTTGTACGTGACAAGGAGTAGGGTCGCCTGTCCAACCTCGTGGGTTTTCTCCGGTTTCCTCCCACTGCTAAAGACCCCTACGCGCAAGCGAATTATTGAAATAAAAACAATTAAACCATATGTTAGTCCCCAAATGACCTAGTTTGTGTCGAGTGGACGTTAAACCCTATTTTTCTCTCTGTCTTTTCATACACAGATATATCAATTAGGCTCTCTATAGAAGGAGTTCCCCAAAAAATATTAGATTGTCTTTTTGAGAAAAAGACCTCTAAACATGCTAGTCTACTTTTATATAGAATTCCAAGTGCCAAGGGATCTTTTACGGTCACACCAATGTGTACACAGGACTTCGGAATCACGCTCATGTCAGCTACTCAAATATGTAACTGGTTCAAAAATTGATTGAATATTCAATGAAATATCGCCAATTTTATGGTTTTGTGCACGTTAAAGATTTGACGTTACTAACATATTAATATTTAATATTAATTACAGATAGATTCTAGCTCAAACAACGTCGTGCCTTTTATCACAGGTGCAATATTCGATACTTCTGTACGATACTACTGCAACCGCTTAACAAATTGGACTTTCTTATAAACAGCAATCAACTATTTCTGTCACAGAGTCACTAAACCCATATTTTGGATAGAAGAAAACACTCATAGTTGAAATAATTTCAGTTCAAATATCATCACTGATAAAAGCACTCTTGAATAGGCTCTATACGTTGACAAAACGTACAGATTGTATCCCCCCCCTTATGTTTCGCTTAACAATGAAAGGTGCCGTGTGCAATTTTCGATCCCTTTGTTCTCCTACTCCTGAAATTTGGTACTGTTGTACAATGGTTTTATATATAACACTGGTGATAGGCCTCTCGCAAGATCACAATTTTTTTACGTTTTTATTTCTCAAAATATCGGAAATTTTTTCGACTACTTCCGGTTTTTGGATCATTGTCGGTAAAGCTTTAACAAGTTGTTTGGTTACCTTACCTTCTGTACAAGAAGTTTCAGAATAATCCATTCAGCTCTTTTCCAAAGAAAGATAATTAGAAGATCATTTTCAGTAATTTAAGGATTTTTCAACTTTTTTCCAAGATTGAGGCTCTTTTTGGACAACTTATGTTATTTCAATGCTTTTATTTTTGGACTCACGCCATAGTCCACCCATAGGAATCTGAGAAAAAAAAGTTTAAGAAAAAACGTAGTTGTTGTGTTTGAGAAAAAGCCTCTCAAAATGCTCCAAAACGGAAAATACTAGATTTTCGGCGTACCATAATTTATTTTCTCGCCATCAATATCGTATCATTCAGATGTCCTATGATAGTTCATTAATGGGGCTATCCAGCGACACTTTAGTTCTTTTGGTCCGCTAAGATCTGATGGAGAAATCAAGTTTTTCGCAAGAGCGCTAATTTTTTTTAACTTTTTTCTTCATTTTTTTGAATATGTCCGGTATGGAGATTATTGTCGGGATAGTTTTAATAACCAATTTGGCAATTAGATAGCCACAGGGCTCTGTAATGATAAAGGCGTCCAAAAACACTCCAAATCAGAAAATACTTGATTTTCAGCTTGTCATATTTTGCTGCTTGGTCATAGTATCCGTATAAATTGGGCATCATACGACAGTCCATTCCTCGGGCCACTCAATGAAAGCTTAATTCGTTTAATCCATTGATATTGGACGGAGAAATCGAGTTTTTCCCCAAAACACCCAGTTTTTGCGGGGTTTTTTCGAAATATCGGACATTATTTCGACTACTTCCGGTACACAAATTGTTGTTGAAATTGCTTTATCCAATGGTATGACATTATAGCTTTATGTTCGAGGACTTTCAGAAACATCGATTGATCCTTTCAAAAAAAATATAAGGGTTATCAAATGGGTAGAAATTTCGAAAAATAAAGAGCGATAACTCTGAATGAAACTTATATGGCTGGAATCGGATGGACATCAGGTATCCAAAAATGTAGATCAAATTTGAAAATTTTGAAAAATAACAAAATTGTCTCTTAAACACCATTTTTCGATCGCAAGAAGTCAACGACGAAGTTTAGAAATTTAGAAATTTTCAACTGCTATCGTCCCAGAAAAGACTCCAGGTTTCCGAAAATGTCATTTGTTTGAAAATAGGAAAAGAATTGACAAAATAACGGCTGTTTTTTAACTTTTTGGCACCATACCAAATTCAGCCACTTCCAGTCTGTGCAGAAGTTTTAAAAAAAGTTTATGGAGTAGCCACCACACGGTTTCCCGATAGAAACTTAGATCCCAGATCGGTATCTCTTATGGGACTGAGAAATAAGGGTCCGCGGTAAATAATAATAATAATAACTAGATCTGCTAAGCAGATATGAAAGCTTTCATATTCACAATCCCTTCCTGTTACATGTCAAGGGTCATATAAAGAATCTCAAAGATAAAAAAAAACAATTAAAATCGGTCAAAAACTTGCGAAGTTAATGTGATTTTTCACTCGTAAACAACTCTGTCGGCACGAAAAACGACGAAGACAAAATTCGAAATTGTGACATTTTCAAATACCATAAATTGGACCCTGATCCCGGCTATCCAGAAATGTATTCATTTTCGAAATAGGAGAAGTATTCTCCCAACTACGGCCTCTTGTTTTCGTTTTCATCTCTGTTATCGTCGATTTTTCACTTTTTCTCATATTCAGTTCAAAATGGTTTCCATCAATTGACGTAGATCAAAATTCTAATCCGATAGATTTTTAGACATTCCTTCAAGGATTCAGAAAATGTAACTCCCATGTCTGTAAGTAAAATATTGCAAAAGCCTTATGGATTTTTCACGTTTTAATATGGTGGCACTTCCAGTTCAATCGGCAGACTTCATATTTTGTGTACACATCAGTACTGTCTTAGCTAGTACAGAAAAAAAATTTCAAGGCAATCTGACCTATATTTCGTCGATTTTTTTTAAAACTTTGATCCTTAATTTCATCAAGGGGAGATAATTTAGAAAATTTCTAATGACATCTTTCAAGTCGCATCGGTAAGATCTACTTACATACTAAATTTCATGAAAATCGTGCAACTATTAAAGAAATTGTTAAGTTGGTTTCAACTTCTGTTCGAAATCACAGCGACGAATTTTCGAAATTCAAAAATCCGAAATTGCAGATTTTAAGTAAATGTTTCAATGTACTCAAAGAAAAAAAAAAATAGTAAAATAGGTCAAATAGTCACAAAGTTACAGCAATATATATGAAAGCTTAATAATTTTAGTAATCTCAATAGTGTTTCACACAAGCTACGCAGTGTGAAACCCTAATAATAATCTTAATAAAAACAATAGTGTTTCACACAAGCTACGCAATGTGAAACTCTAATAATAATCCGAACAAAAACAATGGTGTTTCACACAAGCTACCATTTTAAATACAACTATCTACCATTAGATAATCATACGCCTTGTGACATACAAGAATAACATCAATGTAACATGGTAATTATATATTATGATTAATTTTTTCTTGATACACCACAAAAAAAGGACAGATACCTGGGAAAATGAAATATCATTATGATAATGTAAATCCTGATAATCTACTTACAGTTTATCATATTCATGACATGTAAAAGGTTTGGTCTTTGAATTGTAGGTGGAAGTGGTACTGCTGGTTTAGGAGGATTTGGAGGTCCGTACAGACTGGATGCTGGTCATGAAGTTTACCAGGTACCACAGTGGGAAAAAGATGCGGTGCCAGAATCAGTAAATATACTTCATTTATATAATATGTACATAACATAAACACTTTTATTTCATTTTTCACTGTCCTGCTGTGCACACTTACTTTTTCAGGTAAATGATACTAATATCCTTAATGTAAATTACACCTGCATTAAACATATTACATGTTATGTGGCTTGGAGATAGGGGCGCCTTCTCAACCTTGTGTGTTTACTCCGGACACTCCGGTTTCATCCCACAGGAAAGATCCCTGCGCGTTCGCTAAGATAATGAAAATAAAAAAAAAGACAACTTGTCTGCGATATCACCTTTGGTTGAAGTGGACGTTAAACACTAAGAAGAAGAAGAACAACAACAACACAATCCTTTCACGCAGAATACTTCTAATGAGGGATTTCATCGAAATTACACACTTTATTGTCGGTATCATTGAATAGTATTAAAATACTCATGAAGTGATAGTTTTTGAGAAGTTTTTTAACATCACAACACACTATGAAATTTTTGTCTAATTTGGGAAATGATGCTGATGTGCTTCCTTTTGTTGCCTGGCAACCCTGTGTTTTATTTAGATTTTAAACATCTATGGTAACATGTATGACATGTAATAATAGTTAAATTGCCCAGTTAAGTCTGACTAAATCAATCTTTATTTTATTAGTCCTATTAATGTTTAGCATGTTTTATTATTTATTTGCAATGTATTTATTAAAGGTACAACAAGCTGCTAGAGAAATGGCTCAAAAAGCTTTCAAAGAAAGGCAAGTGTACAAAATTACAATGCTACAGAATTATCTTCCAGCACAAATGGATGTATTGTCAGTTAAATTTAATAACTATGACATTCAAATACGAAGTTCATGCCACACCGATTTCCAGTCACAGACATTTTGACAAAGATTGTATATCATTCACAAGAATTCTGTCTTCATCATGGTTATGATGATAAGTGTTCACCCATACAAGAGTGGCATCCATCAAACACTTTTAAAAAAACCATTTGAATTATCAGTGATAGATTATCTGCCAGTAGCAGATGAAATATTGGGGACAATCAAGTGATGGAAAATCACATGCAAATAATAATTGATATGTGCAGGCCTACTAATTTTAAGAATCAAATAAAGTTTATAATTAGAGCAAATGTACACTGTGGTTTTACTGTAACCCAGATGTTATGGTTACCATATCACAGCATGATTCTTATATAGGCCTGCAGCCAAAATTTCTGGCGTGAAGTTCCGCTACATAGTCCTCCCAAATAAACAAACTATACATTTTTGGAAAGCTTATAACACCAGGAACACAAATCCAGCAAAAAGTTTGCACTAACTCAATTTAGGGCCAGATGAAAATTGCGATAATTGTCAAGTAAATGTTATATTTATACTAACAATTGTGAAGTTGACATAGAATTAAATATTGGTGAAAACACCTGATGCCTTCATCCTGTGCAAAGAATATGCTATTGGTTAAATTTTGATTTAAAGCTAAATGCAGAAACCATAAAGGACAGGGGAACATACAGTATTTCGGAAATCCATTTTATGGTAAGAGGAGTTATCTCCCTTTATGGAAAATATCAATAATCATTGATAACAGTATTTTGTTTAAAGAATTTATTTGATAAACATAGGATTTAACTACAGACTAGGGCCTACTATCACTGTAACCCAGGTATTATTAATCTTGTGTATCTAGCACTAATTTCTTTCACATTTGTTTAATATCAAATCTTTGTTTAAAAATTTGTAAAAATCGTTTAAAATCAACAAAAATCATCTAATTTGTACATGTGTCCAGTTTAAAGCTGACTGATTAATTTTGATAATGAGTGTCCAATTTACAAGTGTTTAATTTCCTGATCACTTTTTCAAAAATTAATCATTATACATCATTAATCAATTGGGTTGTTTATTTTTTAACAATGATTGAGAAATTAAACACTTGTAAATTGGACACTCATTATCAAAATTGAATGGTCAGCTTTAAACTGGACAGAAGTACAAATTAAACAAATATTTAACCTGAAACATAGCATTTACAGATATTTAGTTTTCTCACTAAAATAGATATGGCCAAAACTAAATAATACTGCAATATTGTAATGAAGAGAAAAAAAATCAAATGGAGTTTAATGTCTTACTGTTCTGCACCAACCCGTATAATGAAAATGAGTGTACGTCATACATGATAGTTAGGGGGCATTGTACGTGTACAGCTAGTATGTAAATGTCATCATCAGTGTGCAAGGGAGCCGCGGTGACTCAGTAAAGGGCTGGCTCACTTATTGGGTGGCCCAGGGTTTGATCCTAGTCTAGCGTGGTCCGGGGTTTGATCACCATGTTGACCTAGACAGTTCCCCAAACTTTTCAGCGTTGTTTCACTTTGTCAGTGGTGCAGGAAGTGGGGGGGGGGGGGGCTGTGATGGGCAGCGTCTAGTTATTTGGATGGAATATAAAACAGAGGTCCCTTGCATACGTTGGCATACACGTAAAAAGACTTTAAATTCGAAATAAAGTATAGACCATAACGTTGGTGTTTGGACAAAATTCCCCCTATAGCATAATGTATGGCAGGCGTATACGTACATCTTCATTATCCCGGTTGATACTGAACAGTTAGGCATAAACTCCATTTGATTTTTTTTTCTCTTCATTACAATTGACACTCCCATACAGTATTATTTAGGATTTGCCATATATCTATTTTAGTGAGAAAATTACATATAGATGCTTTGTTTCAATTTAAATATTTAGCCCCAAATCATATCTGAACTAAAAGTTTACAGATATATTAGTAGAAATACTGTTTTGGGAGAACTTCTATCCCACCCCCCCACCCCCCTACCTCCCAGATTCCTTGAACCGTCCATTTTTCGGGCAATGTATTTCAGTTTTTCGGGCACAAGCATCAGCGAATGGAGAATGCGACCATTTCTCACGGAAATATAATTGTATAATTGTGTAATTAATTGTAAATAAACAACCATCACAGCTTTGTGGAAAATTCATTTTAGTTAATGATTGTGTCATTCAGAAAATTTGGGTGACAAAGAAATTTTTCGGGCAACTTTACAATTGTTACTATAAATATAGCATTTTCTTGAAAATTATCACAATTTTCATCTGGCCCTAAATCGAGTTAGTGCAAACATTTTGCTTGAAACTCTCTGGATTTGTGTTCCTGGTTATAAGCTTTCCAAAAATGTATAGTTTGTTTATTTGGGAGGACCATGTAGTGGAATTGTGTTTCTAAGCAAGCTAGAAATTTCGGCTGCAGACTTAATCGATCATCTTGAAAACTTTTTTATACTTATTCCTTATACCCTAAGGCTGACCTCTATTATTTTTGGTGCATGCCCGACCCCCTGGGACAGAGCCACACCCAATGTTTGTGTTTCTTTTGTGTCGCCTACAGGCTGCAATTCTTAACAGATCATTTTGAAACTTTGCTTACCTATACCTTATACCCTAAGGATGCCCCCTATTGTTTTTTGGTGATTGCCCAACCCCAGGGGCAGAGCCATACCTATTTTTTCTTATGTGTCTCTGTGTGTTGCCTACAGGCCATGATTCTTAATGGATTGTCTTTGAACTTGGGATATGTATTCCTTATAGCCTAAGGACAACAACTGCATGTCCCAACCCCAAGGGGCAGAGCCACACCCAATTTTTGTGTTTATCGTTTACAGGCTGCAATTCTGAATGGATCAACTTGCTACTTGGCATATGTATTCCTTATAGCCCCCAGGGGCAGAGCCATGCCCATTTTTGCCTTTAGCGCATGAAGGCCACAATTCTGGGATATGTATCCCTTATAGCCTAAGGACAACAACTGCATGTCCCAACCCCAAGGGGCAGGGCCACACCCAATTTTTGTGTTTATCGTTTACAGGCTGCAATTCTGAATGGATCAACTTGGTACTTGGCATATGTATTCCTTATAGCCCCCAGGGGCAGAGCCATGCCCAATTTTTGCCTTTAGCACATGAAGGCCACAATTCTGAAGGGATTATTTTGGAACTTGGTCTACTTATTCCTTATACTCTAAGGACGGCAACTATTGGTGTTGTCATTTCAATAACAGGGTGGTACCTGTTCCATATTGTTCCATATCTAACCCCTAGGGGCAGAGCCACACCCAATTTTTATATTTATCGTCTACAGGCTTCAATTCTGAATGGATCATCCTGAAACTTTGCATATTTATACCTTATACCGTTAAGACAGCGACTATTTATTTTGGTGCTTGCCCCGGCCTCCCGGGGCAGTGTCACACCCACTTTTTTGTTAATATTTTGTCTGTAAATTTGGCAAAACAAACCCAACGCCTACTTTTCTGTGCCTCTTGTCATATTACAGCCATTTCATATTTCATTCTCTTCTTTTTAAAAAGTACCATATCAATCAAAGCTGGATTGTTGACGTATATTGCAGCGTTAGCAATGCTCTCGTTCTTAAACCATGTTATGGTGAGGTTGGACTTGGAGTATAACAACTGTTATGTCTGAGGTTGGACTTGGAGTATAACAACTGTTATGTCCATATTTCTGGCCAGGTTCATCTTTTCTGCCCTTATAAAAACATAAATACTGGTTCCACACTTGTATTGGTCATTATATAATTTTATGAGCATCCACTGAACCCGAAACAAGAATTTAAAATGTAAAATATGTTTTTAACTTTTATTCAACAGACTAAAGGAGATCGAGATGAGTGAATTTGATGCTGAAACATATGATAAATTTTCTAGCAGTGTTCGTAGACAAGTTCAATCATTAAAGGTTATTCTGGATAGTTTACAGGTATAAACAATCTGGTGTTTTATTCAGGTCTTTTAATAAATAGTGTACAGTAATCCAAAAAGTTTAATGATGAATTGTGCACACTAATCCAAAAAGTTTATAGAAGAATTGTGTACACTAATCCAAAAGGTTTTTTGATGAATTGCATAACATAACAGGATTTAACCTACAAAACGACAGCACATGCTTTTTATACCCCCACATTGAAATGTGGTTGTATATTGTCGTCGCCCCCGTCCGTCCGTCCGGCATCCACAATTGCTTGTGGACGCTCTAGAGGCTAAAGTTAATATCCGATTGACTTTAAATTTATACACATTGTTTAAGGTCATGAGACGAAGAAGCCTATTGATTTTTGATAATTACTGCCAGAGTTATGGCCCTTGATCACTTTAAAAAATCTTGTGGACGCTCTAGAGGTCAAAGTTAGTATCCGATTGACTTTAAATTTATACACAGTGTTTAAGGTCATGAGACAAAGAAGCCTATTGATTTTCAGCGATTTCCGATAATTACTGCCAGAGTTATGGCCCTTGATCACTTCAAAAAATCTTGTGGACGCTCTAGAGGTCAAAGTTAATATCTGATTGATTTTAAATTGATACACAGTGTTTAAGGTCATGAGACGAAGACGTCTATTCATTTTCAGCGATTTTCAATAATTACTTCCAGAGTTATGGCCCTTGATCACTTCAAAAATCTTGTGGACGCTCTAGAGGCAAAGTTAATATTTGATTGACTTTAAATTTATACACAGTGTTTACGGTCATAAGACGAAGAAGCGTTTTGATATTCAGCAATTTTCGATAATTACTGCCCTTGATCACTTCAAAAAATCTTGTGGATGCTCTTGAGGCTAAAGTTAATATCCAATTGACTTTAAATTTATACACGGTGTTTGAGGTCATTAGACAAAGAATCCTATTGATTTTCAACGATTTCCGATAATTACTGCTAAACTTATGGCCCTTGATCACTTTGAAAAAACTTGTGACGCTCTAGAGGCTAAAGTTATCATCCGATTGACTTCAGGTTGATAATTACTTCATGAGTTGTTACTCTTAATCAGATTTTAGTGTATTATAAATGTTTCATTACCAAAAAAAGTAAAAAATATGTGACAACACTTGTTGACTGCCTGGACGATTTAGCTGCTGTGGGCGTATGTTTCGTTGCCTGGCAACCTATCTTTTTATTTTACGGTAACATAAATATGTGTAGAATAGTTAATGTTCTGTAAAAATGTATTTATTACATGATCATGATTATGTGATAAATATAATATACCAGTATACCAAATCGTAATGTAAATTTTACTTTTTAAGGTTCTTTGGGCATGCCTTCTATGAGTTAAGATATTAAACTATCCAGATCATGAGAGTAATATTATTCTTATACTTTTTTTAATATATTAAAGGCTAAAGGTAAAGAGAGACAATGGTTAAAGAATCAAGCGTATGGTGATCTAGATGATGCCAGATTAATCGAAGGTTTAACAGGAGAAAAATCTATTTATAAAAGACGAGGGGAAAAAGAACCAGAGGTAAAATTTAGATCTACGATTACAAGAAATAACTAGATTCAGAATCATTGGCATATAAATTGATGAATTTACAGCTACAAGTTAACAATGGAATGGGGGCTCAGTAAGTCGAGAGTTCAACATTTAAAAATACATATAAAAATTAGTGTATTGTAATTCTAAGTATTGTCGTTTTTTAGAAAATTTATCTTGCTAATCTGAAAAAATTGATCCACCCACGAAATTTTGATGTTATTAGCCATTGTTGACAGTCATTTGGAATTTAAAGAATTTAGAAGACCAGGCAGAATAACTGTTTTATGAATCTGGACTTAAGAGAAGCAAATATTAAGATGGTATTTTTTACTCTATATGTACAAATTTATTTTGTGTAGATGGGTTCACCACAAGAATTACCTAAACGCTTACGTTTTGTTGTTGATGTATCGGGTAGTATGTATAGATTTAACGGCCATGATGGACGCCTAGAGAGAGAAATGGAAGCAGCTTTAATGGTGATGGAAGCTCTAGAGAACTATGATGAAAAAATAAAAGTTGGTTTATTTAATCTAGTCATTTACATTATAGTTAGATTAATTGGAGAAAGCTTCAGACTATTAAAATGGGTTCTTACATCAATCTGTCTGTCACACCTTTTGGAACACATGTAATAACTGCTTCTAACTGGGTGAAAGTGGTTAAACTTGGTGTACAGTTTCAGTACATTAATATCTTAACTAGGCTCAATGATGGATATTATCTACTTAGGCAAGCAATTTGATTTGTCATGACACAATGTTAGATGAATCTCTTGACTCAGAAAGGCCGAGATAAACAAGTTTACTTGTTCCTGCTTTTAAACATGTTAACTGTGAATAGTTACGCTAATAGAGCATTTTGATTGCTTGATGCTTTATAAAATGTAAATGTGGAAGCAATTAATGAGTGTCATCTATTTATTTTTGGATTGAGGATCAGGACAATTAGTCTCACTTGGGAGAAATGGTTGCTCATGGGGTATGGTTCTTGCTTGCTAATCAGGATGTTTGCTTGGGATTTTCTGACTTTGCATTCCCCTTGTCAGTGGTGCAGGGCCATTGGCCTAGCAAGGACAGTGTCTAGTCATTCACATGGGCAAACTCCCAAACAGAGTTGTCTTCGCTTGCAGTTCACACTAACCTTTGCTAAGTACGGCTTCTTGGTTTCGATAGACAATGATAAACAATACGATGAAAAGTAAATAAATGATAATATAATTATTTCTACTACTATAATAAAATAGAAATGAGGTCAAATTATTGTAAAATAATAAAAGTTTACAAATATATATTGAACTCTTTTTGCGAAAGAATACGGGATTAAAGTGTCATAAATACGAACTGCGCATGTCACCGTGCTAATTTTAGATACATGTGGTTCTGTATACCTTTATAAAGCAATCATCAGACCTAATACGTTTATTTGGTTTTAAACACACGAAACGGACAAATTTATGCTGGTCTTTTTTCTGATGGTAATAATTGATGACATTTTCCCCCCCCAAAACTGACTAAAACTCATTAAGTGTTTAGAACTAGGGTGACCACCTTTGCTTGATCATGATCATATCGCGGGACATTTGAGAAAAATATATGTTGCTATAAAACCCTCTTATTTTCTGCGGAGCTGTGGGTGGCAGAGCTGCTCACCCTAAATGGCGTAAGTGTGAGACCGGGATGGCGGGAAGGTGTAGGGGGCCTTCCCTGAAAATTTTTGAAAACTAGAAGCCCGGAAACGCCATTCCCAGCAATCTGAGACAAGAAATATGGTACTGAAATACTCTGATTTTGTAGTGATAACTTGTGATTTTCTCCTGAATTCATAACAACTCCAGAATGATTTATAAAGACAACAGACATTGAAAGATATGCAACTAAAACTTCAAGATTTAAAAGGGTACTTAATTTTGTTCGACTTCACGGCTTCTAATAATCTTCGATTTCTTAATATATACTTGTGAAACTCCTGAAACGAATATTTAAAGTTATATTAAATTTGAATTTCATATATCTAATAAGGTTTACTGATGGCTGGTTTCTGTCATCTCTCCAATAATTTTTCATCAGTGAAAATATGTGCTTAACATAAGCATTGCAAACTGGCATGGAAAGAACAAAGGAAACTATAATTTTATTAAATTTGCTGGTGTAGCGCACACATTAATTGAAGAATTAATCACTTTCATCATGAACATTATATATATTATAAAGTCCATGTTTTCATCCATTTCTCGCCCACGTTTAAGAGATCAGAAGCCATGTCATTCGTAAATCAAGTCAGATTCTCCAAATTACACGTAAGTTTACATGTAAACATTTTATACGCGTAAAACTTACGAGTGCTATGACACATACGTAAACTTGCGAATCGTGTTGTGTGTGCAAAATGTTTGAGAAACAAAATTTTAAGTTGTAGATTAAGTTTAGGTGTAAAAATACTTGTACGAATCTTTGAAAAAAGTGAATGTAATACTCAAATAGACTATCATCGCGAGACTAGATACACACATATTACTGTATAGATGCGGGACATTTTGGCTGGTTTTCAGGACGTGGGACTTGGAAGCATTTTGCGGGACTGTCCCGCATGGTGGTCAACCTAGTTTATAACGGCAGGAACTTTTCTAACGCCATTTTCATCTTGTAGTTAATCATGTGACCTATAACCTCTGGGTCAACCGATGTAGTGCAGAGTCGAATGTGTATAGCAAGATTTGTGTGGAGATTGTCACATGGGATGAAAAACTAAGGTCACATTTACATGTTAGCATGTACATAAAAGAACCCTTGGGCAAAATATCCCTCATACCACACTGCATGGTTACATGAAACTTGTTTATTTTAGTATGGAATCTTGGGTCATTCAGATAAGAACATTTAGCATCTGCTTAGATGAAATATTTTATAGGCCCACATTTTCATATTGTTGTCGCCCCTGTCCATCCCGACGTCTGTCTGTCTGTCCACAATTGTTTGTGGACACTACAGGTCACAATTCTTATCCGATTTTGACGAAACTTGAAATATAGGTTTATCTCCAAAGGTTCTTGGTTGCCTTCGATATTGGCATGTATCAGATCGAAAATTCATGAATTATGGCCCCTGATTTTACGAAAATTGAAATGCATGTTTATAACCCAAAGATCTTAGTTGCTTTCGATATTCGCGCATATCGGATCATAACTTCCAGAATTATATCCCCTGATTGTACTAATAATCGAGTTTTTAGCTTGTGGTCCCTCTAGAGGTCACAATTATTATCTGATTTACAAAAACGTTCAAATATATCACCGTTACACCGTAAGGTTGGTTGAGTTTGAATTTCGTGAAAATCGGACATAAACTGTTGGACAATATGGCCGCCCCTCGTACGCAAATAGTGTAAACATCTGGTATATCAAGGTTCTGGACCCTCTAGAGGTCACAATTTTGATCCAATTTTGATGAAACTTGAAATACATGTTTATAACCCACAACTCTTTCAATATTCGCGTATATCGGACCATATCTTCCTGATTGTACAAAAAATCACATTATTTTTTTAGCTCGTTCTATGCTCGTATCTTGCATGGCAACCGCTTGTTATTTCAGTATGAAATCTGGGGGCATTCAGGTGAAGATTATAAGGTACCATTTGTTAAAGCTGATAAGCCACCCAAAAATGAAAGAGAAAGACTAGTTGTTTTAAAGGTTTGTTTCGCACTGATTCTATTAATAATACTAGTGTGTTTCTGACTAAACAAGATTATTTTATTGTTAGTGAGGTACATACATTGAATATTTAGTTTCTCACATTTCTTTTCAGATCTTTTCTGAGCAGATGAATGCCATGCATGAAAAAAAAATAAGTCTCTATGTTAAATCTATAGCCTGGGCCCTGGATACCAAAAGCTTTCTGATGATTTCTTGCAGGGTTAAGGTCCTTGATAAAACTGAAAAATGTTATGGACGTTCTAGTGGCTAAAATTAACATCTGATAGACTTAACATGTATACACAGTTCTGAAGTCCATACAATGAATTGCTTACAGTGTTATTACCTTTGATCACTTTGAAAAATATTGCTGTGGCTGTATGTTTACTATCTTTACTTTCATTTACAGATGATGCATGCCCATTCCCAGTTTTGTCTCAGTGGAGATAATACTCTGGAAGCTACAAAGCATGCCATAGAATCTGTTGTAAAGGAAGAAGCTGATGAACATTTTGTAATTGTGCTCAGTGATGCTAATTTTGATCGTTATGGTATTCGACCTCATCGATTTGCTGAAATACTGACGGAAGATGAAAATGTAAATTCTTATGCCATTTTTATTGGCTCCCTTGGTGATCAAGCTATAAGGTGAAGTCATATTTTGTTTAGTAATGTTTGATTTATGTAAAGTAACATGCTTTTGTGCTCTTGAAATATATTTGTTGAGTAGTAAAGATATATATGGTATTAAAGAAGCCATCCAAGATTCATTTTGGTGAATAAAAGTGGTTGACCCTGGGTGAAAGATCATTTAAAAACTTTATCCTATGGTTAAGTTAGTCGCTCCATATGTCTGGTAGGAAGAGGAGGTGGGAGTGGCTCCCCATTAAATATGCCACAAATTGTTTTTTTTATCATATTTATCATGTAACATGAGTTTATGATAATGTATTTACCCGTAGTTGGTAGTCAAAATGTTTTTAGTGAAAAGGGGATCACGTGGCTAAGTGGGTAAGACGCTGGCTCGCTAGCCTGGAGGTCGGGTGTTCAATCCCTGCATTGGCCGAGAAAGTTCATCCAGATTTTCCGGCGTGGTTCTCCCTTGTCAGTGATGCAGGACGGAGGGGCTGACAAGGAAAGCTGTCTAGTCGTTCGGATGTGACAAAAAACCGAGGTCCCATGTACACATTGGCATGCACATAAAAGATCCCTTGGCAGTTGGAATTCGATATAAGAGTAGGCCGTAGTGCTGCTGTCCGGGCAAAATTTCCCTCATAGCACACTGTATGGCTTAGGCCCGTCTTCATTACTCCAGTTCGGAGTAAAACAGTAGGACGTTAAACCCCATTTTATTTCATTTCATTTTCATTTTTAGTGAAAAGAGAATTTATATTGGTTATCTCTGACTTTATTTCAGATTGTCTAAACAGTTACCTATGGGTCATTCATTTGTTTGTATGGACACAAAAAATCTACCCCAGATTTTACAACAGATTTTTACATCCACCATGTTGTCTTCTTGATGTTACTGACATAGACAATATATTGAAGGACCATGATTAGAGAGAGAAATACATTTTACAGCTTTATTTATTATTAATTGATAGAATGTAGTTTTCTTAAACTGCTAAATTAAAGATTTAGTATCAAAACTACTAGATTTGTCAAAGTTCTGGTCCCAGTAATGACAGTGCTTCACGTTTGACGCGAGCGATCGCTCTCGCTCTTCTCGGCTCGCGCAAAAGTCAAAATAGAAGAGCTTTTTATCGCTCTCCTCCGAGGATAAAATCGCTCTCGTCATATTTTACATGTCAAAAAACGAACCCCAAACTGCAAAGAAAGCCCATGTAACCAATCCTCGAATAATTGTCCAATGGGAATTGTGGTTTTGGTCCACAGGAAAATATCGCTAAATTTGATTCTGGGTGCTGGAAATTAGTGGAAACATATGATGCGTCAAGTAAATATTTTTGTTAACGTGAAAATATTCCTTATTTTTATTGTATATATTGGCAAACTCAGTAGCACACTAATAAAAGGTAATACATGTTGGTCGTTGAGGTTACCGTTCCAGCCATTATACTATAAAGCATGCAATATGCAAATAAGATTGTTTGATTCGTGCATGCATGCTGTCAGCCAATAGTAACAGTAAATTTTCCCGCGGTTAGACCCCTCTAACCAATGAAAAAAATAGTTGTGTAGGGAACATTCAGCCATTGTTTTGAAATTTCCTCTTGGTTGAATATGGCCAACAAGACAATGATTATGTCGAATCAGAAAATAATTATTGAACCTTAAAATAAATACGTACAAAAAAGAAAGAAAATAGATACAGTCAGAACAGTTTTCCAAATGTTCAATTGATCACGCACGCAGTTGCATCGACGATTCAAGCTTCTCACGTGAATTTCTATAATTTTCAAAAAAGAAAATTTACATAAATAGAAATAAATATAGAGTTTAATCAGACAGGCCTCGAAATGTCGCTTTAGTAACTGACCTGTCATTTATAATAATTTTCCACGTCACTCATTATCCATGCACACAAACACGATTAAATGGTTTTGATTCTTATTTTGATCCATGTGAATATCGTAATTAATTTCTTCGACATCGGCAGGACTAAAAATTCGCGTGAATCGCCGCACTAGCTGTATAAAATGGAATAACAAACACGTCGTTGCACCTGACACTAACTATTATTAATCTCACATTCCGACTTATTTACGCTAAAAATTATATACAATATACATGTATGTATAAAATACTCTTTGGACCAAATTGTTTAATTTTCTCAAATTGTCCTGTAAATTATTGTGGATGCTCTAGAGGCCAAAGTTAATATCCGATTGACTTTAAATTTATTTACAGTGTTTAAGGTCATGAGACGAAGAAGCCTATTGATTTTCAGCGATTTCCGATAATTACTGCCAGAGTTATGGCCCTTGATCACTTCAAAAAATCTTGTGGACGCTCTAGAGGCCAAAGTTAATATCCGATTGACTGTAAATTTATACACAGTGTTTAAGGCCATAAGACGAAGAAGCCTATTGATTTTCAGCGATTTCCGATAATTACTGCCAAAGTTATGGCCCTTGATCACTTCAAAAAATCTTGTGGACGCTCTAGAGGCCAAAGTTAATATCCGATTGACTTTAAATTTATACACAGTGTTTAAGGTCATGAGACGAAGAAGCTTATTGATTTTCAATGATTTCCGATAATTACTGCCAGAGTTATGGCCCTTGATCACTTTGAAAAATCTTGTGGACCCTCTAGAGGTCAAAGTTAATATCCGATTGACTTTAAATTTATACACAGTGTTTAAGGTCATGAGACGAAGAATCCTATTGATTTTCAGCGATTTCCAATAATTTTTGCCAAAGTTATGGCCCTTGATCACTTTGAAAAATCTTGTGGACGCTCTAGAGGTCAAAGTTAATATCCGATTGACTTTAAATTTATACACGGTGTTTAAGATCATGAGATGAAGAATCTTATGATTTTCAATGATTTCCGATAATTTTTGCCAGAGTTATTGCCCTTGATCACTTTGAAAAATCTTGTGGATGCTCTAGAGGCTAAAGTTAATATCCCATTGACTTTAAATTAATACACAGTGTTTGAGGCCATGAGATGAAGAATCATATTGATTTTCAACAATTTCGGATAATTACTGCCAAAGTTATGGCCCTTGATCACTTTGAAAAATCTTGTGACGCTCTAGAGACTAAAGTTATTATCTGATTGACTTCAGATTGATACACAGAGTTCAAGGTCTTGAGACAAACAAGTATATTGATTTTCAATGAATCTTTATGACTTGAACAGCTAAATGCATGATGTTAAAAGTTTCATACACCAAACGTTAGCATGGGGCAGAACTTTATAAAAACCAAACAAATTCTAATGGTTTTCTGATAATTACTTAATGAGTTGTTACTCTTAATCAGATTTTAATTTATTATAAATGTTTCATTACCGAAAAAAGTAAAAATATGCGACAACTCTTGTTGACTGCCCGGACGATATAGCTGCTGTAGGCTTATGTTTCGTTGCCTGGCAACCTATCTTTTTAAATAATTAAAAGTTTGGATTTAAGGAAAATTCCATTATATAATATTAATTTCCCCCCGCCTTTCGAAGAAGGCAGGAGACTATTAAAGTGGGTTCGTCTATCTGTCTGTTAGTCACACTTTTTGGGACACAATAACTCTCCTTCTAATTGAGCTAGAATGTTCAAACTTGGTGTAGGTGTTTATTAGGTCAATGCACATTTTCTGCTTAGAGTAAGCAGAGATAAACAATTTGATTGGTTGATGCTTTGGGACACGATAACTTTAGTTCTAATTAAGTGAGAGTGAGGACACTTGGTGTATAGTTTTATCACATCAATACCTTGACTAAGTTCGATAATGAGCATTTTCTGCTCAGGGTAAGCAGAGTGATAAGCAATTTGATTGGTCGAGACTTTGGAACACAAAAACTCTCCTTCTAATTGAGGTAGAATGTTCAAACTTGGTGTAGGCGTTCATTAGGTGAATGCCTTGATAGAGTTCAATGATAAACACTGTCTGTTAGTAAGCAGAGATAAGCAGTCCGATCGGTTTATGCTTTGGGGCATGATAACTTTGATTTTAATTAAGTGAGAGTGATGAAACTCTGAGTATAGATTCATTATATCATTAACTTGACAAAGTTTGATGATGAGAATTTTCTGCTTAGGCTAAGGAGCGATAAGCAATTTGATTGGTCAAGACTTTGGAACATAACAACTCTGCTTTTAATTGGGTTAGAATGGTTAAACTTGATGTAGATGTTCATTAGGTGAATGTCTTGACTGAATTCAATGATTAACATTTCGAGCTAAAGCTAAGCAGAGCTAAGCAAATTCATTGGATGATGCTTTGGGATAGAGTGATGAAACTTAGTGTATAGTTGATAATCAGTTTGATTGCTTGATACTTTTGAAAAAAAATAAATATGCTATTAATTAATATGTGTCATCTATTTATTTTGGGATTTCAGTGGGGGAAATCAGCCTCACTGTTGGCTTGTTGATCTAATTATACTTTTACATAGTAACACATTACCTCAAATTAATGTAAATACATTGATATTGTAAAATAAAGTTGGATATTAATTTAATTTCTAATCTATGAAATAGTATTTTATTAAAATCTTACAAATTGTTTATAGAGTTAAAGATACATTCCCATGAAAGTATTTATAGGGTAGTTATAGGCGTCACATGCTGGCAGTTTGTTTGCTTGAATTACATAGGTAGAGCTTGATTTTGATGATTGAATGGCTTGTGGTTGTGATAACAGTGAGCAACTTAAACGTACTGCAGATCTTGTGCTTAGATGGCCGAAAAATAAGTTGGCTGAGGATAATCAAAGAATTTGTTTAAGCTTATATATTTACAACACAGGTTAAAACACAGATCCTATTTAGTTTCGTTTTTTATAGTTTAGAACTTCATTTTATTTGTCTCTACTACACTAGGATCTGGAAGAGTTGTTATATTATCAGCATTTTGGTTGAAGTGAGGGATAAGCCAATGAAACAGGCTGTTACTGTGACTTCTTGCCGTGCCATGCATGGAACTATGGGTAGACTTCTAGAAACGTCAGTGCTGATTGATTAATCAATCTGTGACACCATAGGGTCAAAAGTCGTTCGTACAACCTCTGACGCTACCTTTTACTACAACCAGTCAGATCTACATGTAGTGTAGGCCATCGAAAGTCTAAAAAAACGAAACGAAATATAGATCTATATTTGAATCAGTTTGATATATTTATGGTAAACTTTAGCTTTCATAGACTTAGGGTAGGTCTAATCTATTGCATCAGCATATATTAAATAATACCCAAATATTTGTATGGCTCGTAACAGATGTGTCTTAGATTTTGCATTATGATCTAATTTGAACACTTGGGATGTAACTGTATTGTCAAAGCACTGCAAATAGAAAAACACATTTCAATACACTTCTTTGATAGCTGATCAAAAATTATGGATCAAAAGTTTTAGAAAAATTGCTTAAAATGTAACCCATTTATAAATCAAAAGTTTGGGGTTTTTTTATTTTGTTTTTTCAAATCTTAGTAAACAGGCCTGAGAGCAGTTAACTTATTAACTGGTTAACTTATTAATGAGATTAAGGCGTTAATAGAAACGAATTAACTTGTTAACACTCTGTAACAACATATGCATATTCGCCCGGAAAATCATTTATAGACCCATGAAGGTACCTAATTCATGCTAAATTTCATCCAGAGACCACAGTGTCACTGTCGCTTCAGTTACGTCTGCCAGATCACACGTCTCTGGTCGAAATACCTTCGTATCCAGTCTCCGAATCGGAATCAAGTGTCAGGGTCGCAGGTACCAAATTTGATTTGTTTTTGAACATTTTCCGTCAAAATGCCACCTATATACGTCTAGGATTAAATATTAAGGCCAATTGCAAATTTCGTCAAGGTCGCGAGATCTAATTAGGGTTAGGGCACATGATTGTTGGCGAGATTGTAGGTTAGGACTAGGTCTAGAGTTAGGGTTAGAGCAAGCCTCATTCACATCTCGTGACCTTTGACTAAATCTGCAGTTGACCTTAATATTTAGACCTAACCGCCTAGATCCTTGATATGGAACTACTTCACGAAGTGCGATGCTGGTAAGGTTCGGTGTGATCGTTGTGCAAAGGCACATGTGTCTCTTCTGACGGATATATCTGATGCAATTGTAGCCTATTCATGCATGGAAATGATGGTTCCTGTTAAAATCCAGAATAAAAATAATATTCAAAAATAAGGTTTTTCATACGCCCACATTTTTTATGTGGACATATATTGTCGTCGCCCCAGTCCGTCTGTTTGTCTGTCCTTCCACAATTTGATTGTGGATACTCTACAGGTCACAATTTTTATCCGATTTTGATGAAACTTGAAATATAGGTCTATATTTCGGTTCCTTTAGATATTGACATGTATCGGACCATAACTTTATGGATTATGGACCCTGATTGTACTAAAAATCACGTTTTTAGCTTGTGGACACACAAGAGGTCACAATTTTCATCTGATTTTGTCGAAACTTGAAATGCATGTATATAACCCAAAGATCTTTGCATATTGGACTGTAACTTCCTGAATTTTGGCCCCTGATAGTACGAAAAAACACGTTTTTAGCTTGTGGTCCCTCTAGAGGTCACAATTATTATCAGATTTAAAAAAACGTTTGAATATACCACTGTTACATGGTAAAGTTGGTTGAGCTTGAATTTCTTGAAATCTGACCAAAACTACCGGTTTTGATGAAACTTGAAATGCATGTTTATAACCCAATTTGATATTCGCGCATATCAGATCGTAACTTCCTGAATTATGACCCTTGATTGTAAGAAAAACCGTGTTTTAGCGTGTGGTTTTTCTATAGAGGTCACAATTGTTATTTGATTTAAAAAAAGGTTTGAATAGATCACCGTTACACCCTAATGATGGTTGAGTTTGAATTTCGTGAAAATCGAACCCAAACTGCCAAACAAAATGGCTACCCCTCGTACGCAAATAGTGTAGTAAATATACGGGTAGACTAATCTCCGGAATTCACCTGAATTCACTTCAAAAATCCACAATTCCTCCCACAAAACTATTTTAAATGTATAATACATTATAATATAACGAATAACTAGAAATCACAATTTTGATCCGATTTTGATGAAACTTGAAATACATGTCTGTCGATATTTGCACATATCTGATCGTAACTTCCTGAATTATGGCCCTTGATTGTACAAAATTTAGAGGTCACAATTTTTATCCGATTAAACACATGTGAATATATCACTGTTACACACTAAGATCTTGGTTCCTTTTGATAATATATCTTTATAACCCAAAGAACTTGGTTCTTTTCTATATTCGTACATATCGGATCGTAGAAATGGTTCCACTACTGATGTCTTCTGCCTTACTCCAGCCACAGTAGTGCAGGCGCGGATCCAGAGGGGTTGTTTTTGTAAAACCTTTTTATGAGCAAAGTGTCATAATTGTGCTTTATCCTTTATCGTCAGATGGTGCGACAGGATGGACACTGAAAGCGCGAGATAATGAATGATATGCGATATCACAATTAATGCTTTGCATCAATGAAACTGAATCTCAGTGTCATCGTATTAATTCATAATAAAAATTGACGTCAAACAGGATGTTGGATTTCTCTGTTTAAAAAGATCAATGTGTATTATGTATATATATGCCAAAATGACGATAGAGACCATGTATTTCTCAAAAAATTTCAAGCCGAGGGGGAAGTGGTGGTTACATTTTCTCAGGAACCTGGCAAACCCCCTCCTGCAAAAATTCCTGGATCCGCCCCTGTAGTGGTTTGTCCTATGGAGTTCCTTTGCGCAAGTTTTTTAGTCAAATGACTACAAAAAGGTTACTGGCCAATAGCTCCCTTAATTTACACATAAACTGCCCCAAAACTGTACTGCACATAGCTTAATATATAATAAACCAATTCCCATTGAAATAAAGGTGAAGCCTCTTTCATAATTATATGATTTGATGGAACCCAACTGCTACACGAAATTTCTCGCCTACTGAACTTAAAATGTCTGCCCAGTCAGAAACAGCATGCATACTTCATCTCATGTCAAACATTGCTTTGAAAATGTAGAACGTATTACTACAAAACCACAAAGAAAAACTGTTCGGTAACTATTTTAGTGGTCCTGACTATTTGTGATAGAATTACTTATTTCAATACAAGCTGTAATGATATGTGTTGACAATTGTGCGTTTGAACCTATTTGAACTTACGTAAGGAGTCTTACACAGTTTAACGATACATTTAATTGTAGCTAATTGGATCGTAACTTCCTGAATTATGGCCCTTGATTGTACAGAAAATCACTTTTTGTTTAGTTTGTTCTCTATCCATCTCTTGCAAAATGTGGGCGTATCTTGCCTGGCAGCCGCTGGTTACTCTCTGAAATAGGTTGGGTACAAAAATGGGCATATTTTAGGAGCTTCTATAATTAACTCATATAAACTTGTTAACGTTAAAACGTGTTAACCAGTTAAAGGATATTTTAACTTGCTCTCAGCCCTGTTAGTTGCACATTTATACCGGTAAGTGTTTTAAAACACAGTTACCATTCTAAGAATTTATTCATTTTCTTGTCCTGATCATACAATGCTAATAAATTGATTGTGCCCTGTCTGTCCGTCAATGTCATCGGCCCGTCACACTTTTTGGGACACAATAATTCTGCTTGTAACATGGATTGGAAATCTTCCTTTGTTCTTTTCGTTGAATAAGCAGATTGTTTTCCCTTTAGTAGATTGGGTGGAGCTTAACCGTGCAATAACTAGACATGTTCAATGTTATTGCACACTTTTTGCTGGTTTACACTAGTTTTAGTAGAAATCATATAGAGAAGTAGAGTGGGGTTTCTGTGCAATAACAATAAGCATGTTGAACAGTTGTCAATGTTACCAGTCATTTATAGCACGCTTCATTTGTTAACAGGGTTAACCCCTCGGCCTTTGGCCTCTGGTTATATAACTTATAATAAAAGAATGTTCAAACTTGGTGTAGGTGTTTATTAGGTGAATGTTTTGATGAAGTTTGAAGATGAGCATTTTCTGCTCTTGCTAAACAGAGATAAGCAATTTGATTGGTTGATGCTTTGGGACAAGATAACTTTGGTTCTAATTAAGCGGGGGTGGGGGTGTGGCCATGTTGGATTTTAAGGTCTGTCATTGAGTCAAGTGGTGTGGTTTCGATTCCTGACTTGTACGTATACTATCAAGGAGTAGGGTCACCTGTTCAACCTGGTGGGTTTTCACCAGGTCCTCCGGTTTCCTCTTGCTATAAAGAGCCCTAAGTAAGTGCAGGTGAATAATAGAAAAACATTGAACCATGCTTTGCATCCCATGAAATTGAATCACAGTGTCATTTTATTAATTCATAATAAAAACTGACGTCAAACGAGGCGTTGAATTTCTCTGTTTAAAAAGCTCAATGTGTATGTATATACGCCAAAATGACGATAGAGACCATGCGGGAGGGGGGGGGGGATACATATTGTCTCAGGAACCTGGCAAACCCCCTCCTGCAAAAATTCCTGTAGTTTGATTATAACAATACCTTGACTATAATGTTCTATGAGCATTTAATACCTTGACTATAAGGTCTATAATGAGCTTTTTCTGCTCAGGGTATATCAATACCTTTGCTATGTTCGATAACAAACATTTTCTGCACAGGGTAATCAATTTGATTGGCCAAGACTTTGGAGCTCGATAACTCTACTTCTAATCGAGTGAGAGGGGTGAAACTCTGAATATATTCATTACACCAATACCTACAATATGAGCCACCATTTTAAAAAAAAAAAGAAATCTTAGGCAAAAATTAGAATGTGAACTAAATATTTCTTTTACTTTCATCATACTGAATCATAGCGTTGAAAAATGCCGTGAATTTGAGTATTTCCCACCCCAACTATTTTAGCGATTACGCGACCACTTAATAAAATCTCGGTGCTTTTTGTGCTGACATAAATTAATTACGCATGGGTGCATTGGGAGCGAACATCAATACTTGCATCGATAAATTTGACCGTCGCTGAATCTTGCGCCGAACGAAAATTCTTTACTCAAATCTCGAACATAACTTCTGTAAACTTGTCATTTTGTAGCAACCTTCGATACTACTGGCTACCATTGTAATGCATTCGATAATATTTATCCATTTTTGTGAAGAAAATCGACGAATTATTTTTATTTTATCAAAAAAAGCACATGAACAAAAAAACATCGCTGATTTTATCACTGATTTACAGGGGATGTAACTCTGTATGTAATATTATAGGGGGCGCTAAAACGTCTGTTTAATAAAAAAAAAAATGGCAATGGAAAAGAGATACTAGATGATCGTGACAAAACTCGGTATTTTCATTTTATTCAATCAGTATCAAATAATGTGTCGTTACGCGTGAAAACAATGACCAGGTCAGTCGTTTAATAAAACAAAAGATTAATAAACAGATAATCCCGGGTTGATTGTTATTTTTACATTTCTTTTTACCTGATCAGTGGGGGTCCAGTTAATTAACTACTACTCACGGGATTAGCGGGAGTGTTAAAAAGAAAGAACGACAAGATGCTATCATTCAACAATGGCCGTTGAATGGGCGATGTTTTGTTGAATTTATTAGTAAAATAGTGACCGCTGACCGCGTTAGAAGAGTGCCCGTTCAAACAGTAGAATTTTTAAGGGGGGAATTAATCGTGATGCCCGTTGCACGCGTTGAACAGGTGCGTGTTTAGTAGAGGTTAAATTACTTAAAAATCCCTCGGGGGGGGGGGGGGATTTTTTGGTGCTCGTTGAAGCAAGTGTTCGCTGATTAGGAGTGCACGCCGGAGCAAGTTCTATTGTAATTAATGCAGTCCTGGGACAAGAGGGACCAATGCTGGGAAATCCCGATGAACTTTCTCAGTCAACACGTACAGTGATAGAATGCGGTATCTCCAGGTTAGCGAGCCAACATCATACAAAATACAAAAAAAAAAAAAAAGAATTTAAAAAAAAAAAAATATATTATCTCATTAAAACATGGTTCCTCCTGAATTATCATTTTTATATCATTTGTAGGCGCTCTATAGAGGCTAAAGTTAATATCCGATTGACTTTAAATTTATACACAGTGTTTAAGGTCACGAGACGAAGAAGCCTATTGATTTTCAGCGATTTCCGATAATTTTTGCCAAAGTTATGGCCCTTGATCACTTTGAAAAATCTTGTGGACGCTCTAGCGATTTCCGATAATTACTACCAGAGTTATGGCCCTTGATCACTTCAAAAAATCTTGTGGACGCTCTAGAGGTCAAAGTTACTATCCGATTGACTTTAAATTGATACACAGTGTTTAAGGTCATGAGACGATGAAGCCTATTGATTTTCAGCGATTCCCGATAATTACTGCCAGAGTTATGGCCCTTGATCACTTTGAAAAATCTTGTAGACGCTCTAGAGGCTAAAGTTAATATCCGATTGACTTTAAATTTATAGTGTTTAAGGTCATGAGACGAAGAAGTCTATTCATTTTCAGCGATTTTCAATACTGTCAGTTATGGCCCTTGATCACATCAAAAAATCTTTTAAATGCTCTAGAGGCTAAAGTTATCATCCGATTGACTTCAGATTTATACACAAGAGTTTAAGGTCTTGAGACGAACAAGTATATCGATTTTCAATGAATTTTTATGACGTGAACAGCTAAATCCATGATGTTAAAAGTTTCGTATACTAAACTTTAGCATGGGGAAGAACTTTATAAAAACCAAACAAATTCTAATGGTTTTCTGATAATTAGTTAATGAGTTGTTATTTATTATACGAGGGGTGATTGATAAGTAGTGAGTCTAACACAGAAAGAAACAAGGAATTCAAATCAAATGCATTTATTTTTCAACATAGTCCCCCTTCACTGTAATACACTTCTGCAGAGCCTTTATTCCAGTTCTGTAGAAGTCTTTGTCTTGGGTGTGTAGAAAATCATCCACAGCGGCAATGACGTCGTCGTCAGACGGGAAATGCCTACCGGAAAGACATTTCTTCAGAACAGGAAACAGGTAGAAGTCTGAGGGAGCTAAATCGGGAGAGTAGAGTGGATGCTGAAGAAGTTGAAAACCACAGTCATGGCAACAGCTGATTTGTGCACTGGCGCATTGTCCTGGTGGAAAATCACACCTTTGGTCAGCTTTCCTCGTCTTTTGGTCTTAATTTCTTGCCTCAACTGCCTTATAAGTGCTGCATAGTATCTACCGTTAATTGATTGACCCTTTTGGAGGTAATCCACCATGAGAACACCCCCAGAATCGCATAATACTGAGGCCATCACCTTTCCTGCCGATGAAACAGTCTTTGCCTTCTTTGGGGTCGGCAACGTCACATGTTTCCACTGTTTTGACTGCTCTTTTGTTTCTGGCTGAAAGTGGTGGACCCAAGTTTCATCCATAGTAACAATTTGTTTTAGGAAGCGGTCAGGATCGGTTTCAAATAAGGCTAGATTCTCTTTTGACATGATGTGCCTTGAACACTTTTGATCAGGCGTCAAAAGTTTTGGCACCCATCGTGCTGAAACCTTTGTCGTTTCCAAAGTGTGAGTGATAATAGAATGAACTCTCTCCTGGTTAATACCAACTACCCCAGCTATGAATCGTTCAGTAACTCGCCGGTCATTCATTATCAGATCATGGATTTTTTGCACCATTTCAGGTGTTGACACAGTTTTTGGTCGACCAGGGCGTGGTTCGTCTTCAATGTTGTCTCGGCCACGCTTGAATTCAGTTGGCCACCTTTTAATTGTGGCATTTGAAGGAGCATCATCTCCTAAATGTCTCAACCATATGATCATGTATGGCAATATTGGTGCCAGTCGTTATCACATATGTGATAGAACTGGTTAAACACGTTCCAAATATTATTTTATCACAGAGATCATTGGTACGATAGATGAATAATCAGTGTTTCAACAATAGGAAGTGACGAACGCAAAAGGAAAACACGAGTTATCCTTCTATATAACTTGCTGAAGTGACGGGTGATAACAGATACATGGGCGAATTTCTGCTCACTAAAAATTCCTTCAAAGACCAAAAGTTGTTCCAAGCACATTTCCACTAAATTATTAATTGACACATATTAAAAGCTTATCCAACATATAAATAAAGTGCTATACTTTGACTTTCGATACAATTAATACCTCATTCCCCATTAAATTATGAAATATACATCTGTCTTTCCTTCCCTGCTTAACTCGCGCCAGAAAATCTCTCGTGTTGACACTACTGATACTATACAATATTTGGAATGGACATTTTACAAAAATAATTAGCGAATAATTTGAAACGAAATAATAAAATTGAAAGCATAGAAAAATGACGTTCATCACAAAGATCATACATCATTAAGATCGGAAATAATCTTAAAGTGCGACGTAATCAAAGAATGACGCGGAAGATAAAACAACCTTCAAATTGTGATGAAATCATCTACAAACCTAACTCCAGAAGCAAATGGTACAACTGATATTCAACGTAAATCAAGCCTAATTAATAAAATCCGAGGGAGTAAAACTAACCGATAGCAAAGCAACTACTGGCCAGTGAGTGCATGTCTGTGACTAAACACTCCACTCCAATAAGTACACTTACTCCCCGCGATATTTTTCGTACAATGCAAAATGTGTGTATATAATATGCGCAATTTCCATAATAATTAAATATACATTAATTTGGAAGTTCGCTAAACGCACGGACCTTGTAATTATTACATAATAAAAGTATCAGTACTAATAATATAGACCCGCCCGGTTTCCGGCCTCAAACTTCCAGTGTTCGACGTCTTCTCGCCGTGTTTATAATTATTAAATTATTTTACACAATTATCATGATTATACTATATCTATTAGATCACTATTTCACTTATAATATATCTTACCTACTTATGAAATGATAATCCACTCCCTTTCTGACATTGAATTAACCAAAACAACAACTCTCCGGCATGTTGATATATGCCAA